ATCGTCTGACCTAAGACGCTCAGTAATGGATGTTCGTGTCAAAAGAGGCGCAGAGCTATCAACCGATCATTACCTTGTTGTTGGCACGCCAAAGATCTGTTTTAGAATCAGAGTACTCAGGGCTACCTCCCAATGCCGCGGATTCAAACGGGTTGACCTGTTTTCTGGAGTCAGAAACGAATTTTCAGCGTCACCCAGAAGGAAGCTGCATTCAAGAGATGACTTGAAAGGAAAAATCTTTCAGCGGCAGCTTAAGCGGTGGCGGTGCAAAGCGGCAGCTAAAGCGGTGGCAAAAGTCAAAGCTCATTTCAGGGGAAAGTTCGGTAAGGCGTTGTAATCGAGTTTCCAGAAGGCAGACAAGGCATTCTGACAGATCATCTGCCGACTCCGAAGTGAACAGAATGGCAGTAAAAGAGTTCTGAACTAAAAGTCTGGACATCGTCTTACCGAAGATGAGGACATTCATCAGCGATGGAAGGAACACTCTGAAGAATCTATAAACTTATGCAACATAGTCGTGCCATTGTCTTTCTGTTGGTGGCCTAAACGCAGAGCATGAGACAAGTGAACAAATCAGACTGCTTGAACTGGTCACCCGCTAACGGGGCAATTCTATGCCAGCATCGCCAGTGGCACAGTGGTTCTAATGTCGATCTAATTCCAAAAATGATGCATATTCCTCCAAAACTCTGCATCAGATCGTTGTCAAATTTTCTATGCAAAGACCCTCCTGACAACTGCCTCATCGGACTTATGGATTTGGGCATGGACTGAAAGGAATGCTATATATATTGGAAGAGAATCAGTTTCACATTTTTTGCAACAAAAGTATCTGCTATGCCCTAGTTACTGTGTCTAACTGTGGCTTATTCTAAAGTTACAAGAACAGAGAAATCCATAGATCAATTTTCTAACACGATTTACTTAATCCAGCGAACTCGTGCATTGTCACCTCACCACTTTTGGAATGTGCCCCGCATGCTGCTAATTTTAAATACACGGCGGTATGATATAATCGTTTTCTAACAGTGCATTACTTCGTTTCTTTGCGTTGTCTGTTGAATCTCTTGTCGCATACTATGTCTGATATTGTTGTTTTTGCAATAGCGTTCCTTAATGCTTTATTACGTCTTCTAGCCGAAGGTGCCAGTAGCCAGTAAATACGATAGACAGATTGATCGAAGATCATACGACGATCGCCGTGTGTTATTTGAAAACGTAAGCTAATTTTTTTCTATTTATAGCCTAAATTTCCGATAGTCAGCAAATATGACCGTCAGATCGACCGTAGATCTTTCGCTGAGCGTCGCTCCTTGTACGAAGTCGTAAGTACAGCTAGCAATTTGGGACCTTTCTGCCTCCGTAGTCACCCCTTCTGCGTTGCTCATTTGTGCATGTCTTGCTGGTCGTTACTGTAGCGTTTCTGTAGCGTTCTGTAACCGCTCTTCGTTTACCGTACGGTACAACTCGTTAGACGCTTCTCGTCTTCGTTGTAGGCTTTTGTTTTGTTTTCGTGGTACTTGGTGTTAAATGTTTATGAATGTTTTTCACAGTCACGGGTGTAGATGACTCAATTTTAAGCTTGGCGCAGAGCCGCATTTTCCAAACGTGCCTCCACACCCGAAACCCCTAGAAAAGGTCATACGGAAACTGCCCACCGAAATGAAGGACGAAGAAGGGGATGTCGATGATCAACAGGTGGTTACTTTATGATAGCTTATATAACATCGTTGTAAGAGTGCTCAATAGGTAGCAGAAGAACTAGTGGAAGAATGACGAGAAGAAGAGAAATAACAATCAACCAATAACTGTAGTATCATGTTCTGTTTCATGTGTTCTCCATCTTGTTGTGTATTAGCATAACTTTATGTTTGTCCTGTTTAAGCTAACTGCGTGACTGTACTCTAATCGCTTAATTAACAAGCTTCATTCATTAAAGTTCAACCACAGAGTACAAGAAAATTTGGCCATGACATTAAGAGACAGCGGCGTACAACGTGGATCTATTGACTAATGTACTTATTTCATTAAAGCCAAAAAAATCGAAAGTTGGCCCCATATTTCGCGGAAGTGCTAGACCTCCGGATAAGTGGGGAAGGAAAGAAAACGAAGAGCTAGAGAACCTTCGTCGCAATCTTGAACCGCCAAAGTACATCGAGCAGGTGAAGATTGAAGGAGCAAAACCTCCAATGGAGCCGGTGCCGGTAGACGAGTCCATACTTCAAGAAGCCGAGGTAAAAATTTCTTACGTTGACTGTTTAACTGGTACTGCTATGATTATTATGATAAATTGTTAAGTAGTTTTCCCGTAGTAGTGGCTGTCATTGATTGCGGGTGTCGATGGCCTTCACTTAAACAAGCCAATAAAGTCACGATATTATATTGCTAGGATGAAAGGGCGGCCTCGAGGAACGAAAAAATATCCAATCCATCGCGCTCATAATTCTCCTTCCTGTCGTAACTAGTCTTGTCGTAGGCCTCTTTGGATATCTTTGCTGGGAACTCCTGAAGTTTATACGAACAATCGAATCCAAGAGTTTGTAGAGTGTACAGTTCTATACTAAAGTAACGATCACCTGCGTTTTGCATTGAGGAGGTTACCTTTGGTCATTCTAGGGCGTAGTTTGCTCCAAAGCGTTTTGCTGAAGAAGTGCATTTCAGTCTGCATTTAATAACGCGTACTCCTTAAGATCAGTGATTTGAATCCCTCCATTTTAATTCCTGTCTTTTTAATGGTGACCGGCATCACACGGTAGATTCCATTGAAAAGGTCCTACATACCATGGAAGTGTACGGGTAGCAAACATCCCGGCGGTTACTCACTTCCTTGTCCTTTATTGAGACGAAATAAAAGTTACATTTTGCTCTTTTTCTCCCCTTCTATTCAACAAAACATATCTCCTCAGCTGCAGCATGCGTCCTTAAACTTTCGCTGTTTAAGACACAATATGGTCCTACTTTAAGAAGGTAATTTTCTAAACACTTGCCAAGCCATAACTGCTATTTTGTTGTTCTCCTCAGTTCTGCCGAACGTATTTTCGATTGGCTACTGTATTGCAGTACTGCAGCAGTTGATGACCATTTGAACGTGTGCATTTAGCAACAACCGGAAGACGAAGAGGAATAAGCTTCTTCAGCATGTCTCATAACGCTGTACTTACTTCCGACGCTTACAGTTCACACTGCAATTCGTACTACACTTGCCGCCAAACTTCAGCAGCTGTTCTGCAAGGGCAAAACAAATGCGCATTGGAATCATCTGCAGCTTCGCCATCTAAGGAAACCTTCTACGTTTTCCATGGAAAAGTAGTTCTTTTAGAAAGTGTGGCGCCAGACAATCGATTGATGTAGCATAGTAATCATTTATTCTAAATTTACCTGAATGGACTGAATTGGTGGTGCTATTAATTGAAAAGTTTTACTGCATTCACACGTGCCTTCTAATGTGTAAAAATTGTCTAGTTTGTTGCACTTACAGTAAAATGATTGTGAATCAAATAATTCAATTGTAAAATGATTTCTTTTTGACCCTACAATTTATACAGCTTCACCACCTGTTAAGGCTAGATTTCGCCACTATATCTAGTTTTACACATAGCAAGGGTGTATTTTATAGAGGAAGTGCCCAGAGATGGTTACAAAATAGAATGTATCAAACATCAAAGCACTAATAATTTTTTTATTTATTATATAGTCGCTTTGGGGAATGCATGATACACAAACCCAAACAACATTGCATGTTAGCGTGGCCAAATATGGCATAAATTTTCGTCTTTGAGATGATGAGGTCTACGGAACAATTGGTTTGCGGGTTAGCTAAGAGACAAACTTGCTATAATTTTGATAGACACATAGCATAGTGAACCAACTAAATTCGGTTATAAACGAAGAACAATTCGTAATGACTTCTAAACTCAGACAATATATCGAACCTCATTTCAAGTTCTTTTCTCAGAACTGAGCGATCCACTGCCCCTTAAGGATTGTCTTTTTGTGAATGTTTTGCCACAGAAGGGTCCATCTA